CTGGGGAAATGGCATGGAGCGCTAGGGAGGGGTGAATTAGTGGGGGGAAAAGGAGAAACATCTGTAACAAAAAGAAATTAATTAAGTATAAAAAAAAATTGGAAAGGAGAAAGTGAAACTGTCATTATTTGCAGGTGACATGATATTGTACATAGAAAATCCCAGAGACTCCATCAAAAATCTACTAGACATAATAAATGTATTTGGCAAAGTAGCAGGATACAAAATTAATGTCAAGAAATCAACGGCATCTTATACACCAATGATAAACTTACAGAAAGGGAAACTTAAAGACAATCCCATTTACCATTGCAGCAAAAATATTAAGATACCTAGGAATAAACTTAACGAAATATGTAAAGGACCTATTTTCAGAAAACTACAGGACATTGAAAAAAAAAATAAAGGAAGATATAAAAACGTGGAAGCATATACCTTGTTCATGGACTGGAAGAATTAATATCATTAAAATGTCTATACTACCCAAAGCAATATATAGATTCAGTGGAATCCCCATCAAAATACCAATGATATATTTTACAGAACTAGAACACATACTTGAAAAGTTTATATGGAATAAAAAAAGAAATCTTGAAAAAGAAGGACAAAGTAGGTGGGATCACAATACCACATATCAGGTTATATTACAAAGCTAGTCTAATCAAAACAGCCTCGTACTGGCATAAGAACTGGCATATAGATCAATCGAACAGTATGGAGAACCCAGGAATTGACCTAAGACATTATGCTCAATTAATATTTCATAAAGGTGTCAAGAGCATATGAACAAGAGCAATGAACAAGGTGGCTGATGAATGAAATAGACCCAGAGATGTAGAAAGGAGTATGATTCAGACTGACAAACCTCAGGGTAGGGGGGTTAGGGGGATGGAGGTGATGAACCAAAAAACTTATATGCATGTATGCATAACCAATGGACATAGATAACAATGCAGGGGGGTGGGGTGCAAGAATGGGAAATAGGGTGTTTAGGGGGGAAAAGGAGAAACATCTATAACAAATATAAATTAATAAAAATTGAAAAAAAAATGTCTATACTACCCAAAGCAAACTATAGATTCAATTTAATCCCCATTAAAACGCCAAAGACATATTTCATAGAACTAGAACAAAAATTCCAAAAGTGTATATGGAACCAAAAATGACCCCAAACAGCCACAACAATCCTGAATAGGAAGAACAAAATAGGAGGGATCACAATATCAGATATTAGGTTATACTGCAAAGCCATTGTAATCAAAACAGCCTGGTAGTGTCACAAAAACAGGCATATAGATCAATGAAACAGAACAGAGAACCCAGAAATGAACCCAAGATATTATGCTCAATTAATATTTGACAAAGGTGGCAAGAGCATACAATGGAGTAAAGACAGCCTCTTTAAAAATGTTGGAAAAATTTGACCGCTACATTAAAAAAATGAAGCTAGACCACCAACTTACACCATACATAAGAATAAACTCAAAATGGATAAAAGACTTAAATGTGACTCATAAATTCTTAAAAATCCTAGAAGAAAATGTAGGCAACAAAATTTCAGACATCACACACAGCAGAATTTTCACCAATACAATGCCTAAGGTAAGAGAAACAAAAGAAAAAATTAATAAATGGGACTACATAAAATAAAAAGTTTCTGCACAACAAAAGAAACAAGCATCAAAATGGAAAGGGAACCCACTATATGGGACAGCAAAATTGCCAATGATGCATCAGATAAAGGATTAATTTCCAAAATATATTGAGTACTCATACAACTCAACAAGAGGAAGACAAAAAATCCAATTACAAAATAGGCAGCAAACCTAGACACCTCATCAAATAAGACATGCAAATCACAAAGATACATATGAAAAATGCGCATCATCACTAATCATTAGAGAGATGACAATGCATAATCATCTCACACCTGCCAGAGTGGCTACTATTAACTAATCAACAAATGACTAGTACTGCCAAGGACGTGGAGAAAAGGTTACCCTAGTACACTGTTGGTGAGAATGAAGACTGGTGCAGCCACTATGGAAAACAGTATGGAGTTTCCTCAAAAAACTAAAAATGAAACTGCCTTTGACCCAATGATCCCACTTCTAGCATTATATCCTAAAGAAGCATGAAAGACTATCAGAAAGAATATATGCACCCTTATGTTCATAGCAGCATTATTTATAACAGTTAAGTTCTGGAAACAGCCCAAGTGGCCATCAGTAGATGAGTGGCTAAAAAAGTGTGGTACATTTACACAATGGAATACTATGCAGCTGTAAAAAAAAAAAAAGAAAGCTCTCCTACCCTTTGAGACAGCATGAAGGACCTTGGAGACTATTATGCTAAGTGAAATAAGCCAGTCAATGAATGACAAGTATCATATGATCTCACTTACATGTGAAATATAATGAACAAAATAAATTGACAAACAAAATAGATCTGGAAACATGGAAGTAGGGAACAGACTGATGAACCTCAGAAAGAAGGGGAGGGAGATAAACTAAAGAACTTATATGCATAATCCGTGGACACAGAAAATAGTGCAGTGAAGGTGGGAGGGTAGCGAGAGTGGGAGAAGGGGGTCAGTGAGGGAAAAATTTGGTATATCTGTAATACTTTCAACATTAAAGATACATTTTTTCGTTTTTTTTTTTTTTTTTCCTCACCCGAGGACATTTTTCGATATTTTGTTCAGACAGAGTGAGAGGGAGAGAGAGAGAAACATCGACGTGAAAGCGACACATCGAGTGGTTGCCACCCACACGACCCAACCAGGGCCGGGGACAAACTGCAACCAAGGTACGTGCCCTTAGCGGGAACCGAACCCGGGTCTCTCCGGACCGCAGGCCAACGCTCTAACCGCTGAGCCAAACCGGCCAGGGCAAAGATACATTTTTTAAAAGATAAAAAGAATGTGATGAATTAGATTTTATCAAAAGTAATGACTTATTTCAATAAGAGGCACAATGGATAAAGCTAACAGCAGGTAATATATTAGGAAAGTGAATTAAATTCACAATATCAAATACCAATGAGGAATCTTTACATATGTGTGTGTGTGTGTGTGTGTGTGTGTGTGTATGTGTATCCTGTAGTCAACAAGAAAAAGATAGCAAACCTATGTGAGAAAATGGGCAAAGGGACATGAATAGGCAATGTTCAGAAGAGGAATCCTCAACAGCCAACTAGCATATAAGAGATGCCTTAGTGTTCAGAGAAGTGCAGACTGAAAGAATCGTGAGAATCACTCCTCCCCACTAACTGGCAAACTTAGAAAGCTAGCTCACATGGAATGTGGGCACGTGGAGCTTTCATGCACTGCCAATGGCAGGATGATGGTGCTGCCTCCAGGGATTCCTCTGTCCCACTTAGTGACATACTCCCATGGATCATCAATTTCCTTTATGGGTATACATCCCAGTGAAATCTCCAGATTTCTGGGGATTTCAGGACCAGAAGGTGACATGCTTGTGTTGTTGTTTGTGGTGGTGTGGAGTTAGAGACAGGCTGGCAGCCTACTTCAGGAGGGTGGCTGGCTAAAATAAAGGGGTTGGCAGCAAGAAGTAGAAACGGACCAAACACACATGTGGCAGCAGGATGGATATTAAACCACAGTGATGAGAAAAGCCAGTAATAGCATGAAACTGTAAAAGTACTTTACATAAACTAAAATGCATGTGCACAAAACCGAAATTCACATTTTGGAAGAATACATATAATATAAGATAGATTTTAGACTAGATGCTTGATGGGGGAATGGAGGGTGATACAGGGAGAAATGTTTACATATAGGGTAACATGCCCACCCCAGACCCACAAGTCAGAGTCTTTGAAGGTGGGCACCAGGAGCCTCGGGGATTCTTATTTGCAGTTAGGATTGGCACCAATGGTTTACAGTATGCTTACACCTCAGGACAATATAAAAATTATAAAAAAGACAAAGAACCCAATTAAAAAATGGGCAGAGGAGCTGAATAGACACCTCTCCAAACAGGACATACAAATGTCCAAGAAACATATGAAGAAATGCTCAACATCACTAATCATCAGAGAGATGCAAATTAAAACAACAATGAGGTATCGCTTCACACCTGTCAGAATGGCCGCCATCAACAAATCATCAAACAAGTGTTGACGAGGGTGTGGAGAAAAGGAAACTCTAGTACACTGCTGGTGGGAATGCAGACTGGTGCTGCCACTATGGAAAACACTATGGTGTTACCTCAAAACATTTAAAATTGAACTGCCATTTGACCCAGTGATTCCACTTCTAGGAATATACCCTAAGAAGCCCGAAACACAAATCAGAAAGAATATTATGTACCCCCATGTTTATAGCAGCACTATTTACAATAGCTAGGATCTGGAAACAGCCCAAGTGTCCATCAGTAGACGAGTGGATTAAAAAGCTGTGGTACATATACACAATGGAATACTATGCAGTTGTAAGAAAGAAAGATCTCTTATCCTTTGAGACAACATGGAGGGACCTAGAAAGTATTATGCTAAGAAAACAAGCCAAGCAGAAAAAGACAAATACCACATGATCTCACTTATTTGTGGAATATAATGAACATAACAGCCTGAGGAATAGGGTAGACCCAGAGACATGGAAGTAAGGTACAGACTGACAACTCTTAGAAGAGTGAGTGGTAGGGGGAAGGAAGAGATAAACCACAGAACTTATATGCATGTACATATAACCAATGGACATGGGCAACAAAGCTGGGGATGGGATGAGGGGGTGGGGAGGAGGGTGTCAATGGGGAAAAAAATGAGAAACATCTGTAACAAAAATAAATTAATAATAAAAATATTTCAAAAATTTGTAAAAGCAAAACTCGAATATAACCTCTACCAGTGATATAGATTAATTTATGTTGAGTGAGGCTGTGGAATAAACCAGGATGAAATGTGGTTGGTTAATCAGAAGAGTGACTGGGATGCTGACATATAAAGTGGGCAATGTGAGGAAAAGAGACTTCACTCACCAGCCTGGCCTTCAGTCCTTCTCCAGTCTGAAACAGTTAAGAAAAACAAAAACAGAATTAGAACACCAGGCTCCTTCAGCTTCCCTTCTCACATGTCAAATTTGCACCCACTCCAGCCCCCCACCCTTTCTCCTTTCACCCACAAAGCCAGCAGGGTTCTAGCCTGGTCATCATACCTGGTTGGGAGATGAGAAGAACTTACATGGATAACCAGATGCTAAAAGGTGGACAAGAAGAGACAGTTCTAAGAGGGGCCACTTACCAAGCTCCGACTGCAGCTTCCCTATAAGCAAAATACACAGAGAAAACATCAGCCTTGGGCTGACTGGAACCATCTTCCAAAGACAATTAGACCACTAGGAAGATGTTCCTTAGTCTTGAACCACCGCTCACCTCAATCCCACCTGAATCTCTGCATCTTCCATTGGCAGGATTCCAATACTCATCCTATTCTTTGCTCTAGGGCAGAAATCCCAAAAGGGGCAGTAATGGGGATGAGGGTGGAGGGAGTAGGACTTGTTACTGAGGAGCTCCCAGGGCTCAGGTCTGGTTTGAAGAGGCTACTTTCATCTGCCCTGAAATCTCCAGCTTTCCTGAGCCTCAGAGTCACTTACAGGGTGTATTATTTAAAGGACTGGGAGAACATCACACTGAATTATTTCCCCTGGCTGGATGCAGAGACTGATAATTGGCCACTAGAAATGCATTTCTTTGATCTGTCCACCCCATCTTTTAAAAGTAAACGCTCCTGGGAAAGGCAGGACTATACACTAATTTAGACTATACTATATTTATGCTATACTCACTTTAATGCAAATTCAAGGTGCCACCCTTCCCAACGTCATTTGCATTAAAAATATAAGGATATCTTAGGAAGATGAACCAGTGGGAGTAAACGATTAATGGTGGAATTATAAGTGGCAGAGAAGGGGCTGGCAGGGTCTGTCCAGAGGGTCTGACACCAGACTTACTTGGCAGCTTCGCTAGAGCCCCTTTGAGAGTGAAGAGGTGGGAGGCGCAGAGGAGTGGATTAAGAACTAGATCTTTGCCATCTATCGCTGTCCAAAGGAAGCCTAAAATCACTGAAACCCTCCTTCCGCTGCGCACACCACGTTACCCCATTAATCAGCAGCCATCGCTGGAGGCGCAGCACCCAGAACATACCCAGCTCAGCTGTGAGTTTCCCTGGAGAAGAAACGAAGAAAGAAATCTCTATCAAAGAACGCTGATGCCTCGCTTTCCTAAAGTGCACAGACTGGGTCCCTGTGCGTTCTGGGGACCAGGCTGGCTGGACGCGCAGGAGGAGCGGGCACCAAGGCGAGGGAGCCAGAAGTGCAAACCTCTTCCGCATGTCTCTCTACCCTGCTCCCAAGCTACCCGGTCTGACCTCCTCCCCTGTTTGCCCCAGGGCCCTCTTCTGCTAGGCAAAGGTAGGAGCGGAGAGCGCGCCTCTTCCCGGCTCACCTTTGTCCTTTTCCGCCTGCTCCTTCAGCTTTTCTGAAAGGAAAAAGGAAGGGAGCGGACATGGGTGCGCGGTTCCCGGTCTGTCCCACTGCTTCTCCCTGCCCCGCCCCCAGCAGAGCTGGCGCCGGAGGGCGGCCCCGCCTGCCGGTACCTTGAGACAGGCGTTGCTTGTGAAAGAAGTACAGTGTCAGCGTCGTGAGGAGGGCCAGGAGGAGCGGCAGGCCACCCAGCAAAGTCGCGAGGAAAGCTGTCTTCCACGGGGATGGTCCGGGTAAAAATACGTCTGGAAAACACCCACAGGGAGTTGTCTTGATTTAGGCGCCACCAAATACCCAGTTACGGATGCTTCAGAATGCCCTGTGCTGTATGGAAAACCTTACTAGTGACATGGTGCAGAGAATAGCCATCTGTAAAATGGGCGTGACAGCGCTGCCCTCGCTCTAGTGAATGTGGAGATCAGAAGAACTGCGGCGGGCTTGAACTAGCTTCGCCAAAAGGGAAAGCGCTGCAAACTGAGGGATGGAGAGAAGAGGAACTGAGGGACTCCACCTTCGAAAGGCTGTGACCAGTTTCCTGACCTCCCGCTGCTTCTTCCCAGTCCTGCCCTGCATCTGAATCCAAGGTGTTTTGTTGATATGCAAAACCCAGTGAATCATTGCTCTCCACCTGAAATGTTGAATTCACAACCCATCTCTGATTCTTGCAAACAGGTGGCTTCTACTTCTCATCACACCTTTGGAAGTCTTGATAGCAAAGCCTCCAGGGGCTGATTGACAGTCCCCTCTTTCCTCCCCAGGTTCCCCAGGGAGGTCTCTGCAAACAGTAAACAGATAGGTACAAAATGGAGAATAACCCTTTAGAAACTCTTATGGCAATTTAATAGAGTAATTTTGTGTCTGTTGAAGATAATTATAAAAAATTGTTGCTTTTAGGACTGACCAGTCCCACACACACGTGTGGCGAATAAAAATCAGGAGGGATACCTTGGCTGTTAAGGTCATCCCTGAGGAGCAAGGGGTCCTCCTCCCACATCCGGTGCCCAGCTTTGGGTTCCAGTGCCAGGGAGAGAGGTCCCCATAACTTCTGGCTGTAAAAACCAGCGGGATTTGAGACAGGGAGGCTGAGGCTGCTGGAGCCCCAGGCACTTCCTCTTTTTTTTCTTTTCTTTTTTTTAAATTAATTAATTTATGTTACAGATGTTTCTCCTTGTTCCCCCACTGATTCCCCCCTCTCCATCCCTCCCCAAGCTGCCCCCACCTTTGTTGTCCATGTCCATTGTTCGTACATACAAGCATATAAGTTCTGTGGTTTATCTCTCACCCCACCCCCTCTTCAGGGGATTGTCAGTCTGTACCCCACTTCCACATCTCTGGGACTACCCTGTCCCTCAGACTGTTATGTTCATTATATTCCACAAATAAGTGAGATCATGTGATATTTGTCTTTCTCTGCTTGGCTTGTTTTGCTTAGGATAAAACTTTCCAGGTCCCTCCATGTCATCTCAAAGGATAAGAGATCTTTCTTTCTTACAGCTGCATAGTACTCCATTGTGTATATGTACCATGGCTTTTTAATCCACTCATCTACTGATGGACACTTGGGCTGTTTCCAGATCTTAGCTGTTGTAAATAGTGCGGCTACAAACATGGGGGTACATATATTCTTTCTGATTGGTGTTTCAGGCTTCTTAGGGTATATTCCTAGAAGTGGGATCACTGGGTCAAATGGCAGTTCAATTTTAAATTTTTTGAGGTAACACCATAGTGTTTTCCATAGTGGCAGCACCAGTCTGCATTCCCACCAGCAGTGTACTAGAGTCCCCTTTTCTCCACACCCTCGCCAACACTTGTTGTTTGATGATTTGTTGATGGTGGCCATTCTGACAGGTGTGCATGGCCCTCACACAGGACTTACTCCAACCCATTCTTGCTGAGCTCCAGCTCCAAGGGAGGCAACTTGAAAGGCACCAGACAGATGCGTGGAAGAACTGAGTTGTTTGGCATCAGGGTGAGAGCTGCAGAGGCAGCTTTCTCCCAGAGACTTACTGGCTGAGGCCTTTGTTTCTTCGGTGAGCCCTTCCCCCACAGGATGGCAAACTGGCTCACACTATTTGCCCTTTCCTGGTGATTCCCTGAGGCCCTGCCCCACCCAACTTGTGGGCCCACCCAACCTGTTTCCAGTGGCTATACCACCATAGGATTGACCTGCTTTGGTTTCTGCTTCAAATTATCCTAAATTCTCTCAAACAAGCAGCATCTGGCCACAGGAAGCCACTCGTTAAGTGGCCCCAGGCCTGGCACTAGAAGCAGGCAGCCTTGGTTCACAGCTTGGCTTTGCCTAGGCACTTCCATACCTAGCACAAGAAGCAGCCACCAGCAGGTCACTTTGTAGCTTATGCCTGGTGGCCCAAGGTTAGAACATAGGCAGTGACTGACCTTGCCTCAGAACCAGCACACACAATGTACAGCTTCAGACCATCAAAGCACCACCACCCAACCACCTCCACAAGTGACACACTCAGGGAATGGACTCAGTGGGTACCAGAACCCTACTGAAGTAAGTCTTGCTCTGTATGGTGGGCTCCTGCACAGCTGATCATCCAAGGTAGTCAGAGGTCGGTGGTTAGTGGGCACAGCCAGTCCTTGCAGCTGATCAGCCTGAGTAAATCCCTCCCATTGATGTGCCAACAGCAATCAAGGTTCAATTACAACAGAAGGGTATAAAGTCCACACAAGGGATCTACTTCGAGGGCCCAGCTGGGTGACCAGGGATGCTATGCCACTGGACCCCACAGGACACCTACTACAACAGGCCATCCTAGAATGCCTAGGAAACATAGCAATTCTACCTAATACATAGAAACAAATACAGGAAGGCAGCCAAAATGAGGAGACAAAAAAACATGACCCAAATGAAAGAACAGAACAAAACTCCAGGAAAATAACTAAATAAAATGGAGATAAGCAATCTAACAGATGCAGAGTTCAAAACACTGTTAAGAAGAATGTTCAATGAACTTAGTGAGAATTTTCAGGAACTTCAAGAGACTACCAAGGAACTTAGTGAGGACCTCAAGAGCATAATAAAGGATGAGTCAGAAATGAAGGATACACTAACTGAAATAAAAAATAATTTATAGGGAATCAATAGTAGAGTAGGTGAAGCCAAGAAGCAAACCATCAATTTGGAATATAAGTAAGCAAAAAGCACTCAATCAGAACAGCAAAAAGAATAAAGAATCCCCCCAAATGAGGATAGTATAAGGAGCCCATGGGACAACTTCAAGCATACCAACATTCACATCATGGGAGTGCCAGAAGGAGAAGAGAGAGGGCAAAAAACTGAAAACCTATTTGAAAAAATAATAACAAAAAGCTCTCCTAACTTGGTGAAGGAAACAGACATGCAAGTACAGGACATACAAGTACAGACAGTCCCAAACAAGATGAACCCAAAGAGGTCCATACCAAGACACATCATCATTAAAATGCAAATGCTTAAAGACAAAGAGACAATCTAAAAAGCAGCAAGAGAAAAGCAGTTAGTTACCTACAATGGAGTTCCCATAATGCTGTTAGCCCATTTATTAAAAGAAACTTTCCAGGCCAGAATGGAGTGGCAAGAAATATTTAAAGTGATGAAAAGCAAGGACCTACAACCAAGATTACTCTATCTTGCAAAGCTATCATTTAGAATCGATGGACATATGAAGAGTTTCCCAGACAAGAAAAAGTTAAAGGAGTTCATCACCACCAAACCAGTATCATATGAAATGTTGTTGGGTCTTCTTGAAGAAGAAGGTAAAAAAAAATATGAAAAATAAAATGGCAATAGATACATATCTATCAACAAATGAATCTACAAACAAAATGAGCAAACAGAACAGAGACAGATTCATAGACACAGAAAACTTTTTGTTGGTTCCTAGATGGGAGAGGGGTTGAGTGAAAAAGATGAAGGGATTAAGAAGTAATCCCTAACAATTGGTTGTTCATTAGCCTTCTTAAGGGAAGGGGGGAGGTGGGGCTGAAAGAGAGAAACCAAAGAACTCATATGCATATATGCATAACCAATAGACTCAGACACTAGGAGAATGATAGGAGTGGGGAGGAGGAGGTAAGGGGAGAAATAAGGAGGGACATCTGTAATACACTCAACAATAAAAAAAGTTTTTTAAAAATTGTTGCTTTTAACTGAGTGGTCTTTTAAAATACTTTTTCTTTTTATTGTGATTACATATACATAACATAAAATGTACTATCTTTACTTCTTTGGTTAAGTTTATTCTATGCAACATTGAAAAAAAGAAATAGAGAAAGATATAAAAATGTGGAAGCATATACCTTGTTCATGGATTGGAAGAATTAACATCATTAAAATGTCCATACTACCCAAAGCTCTCTATAGATTCAATGAAATCCATCAAAATACCAATGACATATTTCACAGAACTAGAACAAATACTCCAAAAGTTTATATAAAACCAAAAAAGACCCCAAATAGCTGTAGCAATCTTTTAAAAGAAGAACAAAGAAGGAGGGATCACAATACTGGATATCAGGTTATACTACAAAACCACTGTAATCAAAACGGCCTGGTACTGGCATAAGAACAGGCATATAGATCAGTGAAACAGAATAGAGAACCCAGAAGTGGACCCAAGACATTATGCTCAATTAATATTTGAATAAGGTGGCAAAGCATACTACAAAGTAAAAACAGCCTCTTTAATAAATGGTGTTGGGAAAATTGGACTGCTACATCCAAAAAAATGAAGCTATACCACCAACTTACACCATACACAAGAATAAACTCAAAATGAATAAAAAACTTAAATGTGACACATGAATACATAAAAATCCTAGAAGAAAATGTAGGCAACAACATTTCAGACATTATATGCAGCAGATTTTTCACTGATACAATGCCTAAGGCAAGAGAAACAAAGGAAAAAAGAACACATGGTACTACGTCAAACTAAAAAGCTTCTGCACAGCAAAAGAAACAACCATCAAAATGGAAAGGGAACCCACTATATGGGAGAGCACAACTGGCAATGAGACATCAGATAAGGGGTTAATCTCCAAAATATATAGAGTGCTCATACAACTCAACAAAAGGAAGACAAACAATCCGATTCAAAAATGGGCAGAGGATCTAAACAGACACATCTCCAAACAGGACATACAAATGGTCAAGAGATATGAAAAATGTTCAATGTCACTAACCATCAGATAGATGGAAATTAAAATGACTATCAAGTATCATCTCACACCTGTAAGAATGGCTGCCATTAACAAATCAGCACACAAGTGCTGACAAGGGTGTGGAGAAAAGGGGACTCTAGGACACTGCTGGTGGGAATGCAGACTGGTGCAGCCACTATGGAAAACACTATGGTGTTTCCTCAAAAAATTAAAAATTGATCCGCTATTTGACCCAGTGATCCCACTTCTAAGAATATATCCTGAGAAGCCTGAAACTCCAATCAAAAAGACTATATATACCCCTATGTTCATAGCAGCCCTATTTACAATTGCTAAGATCTAGAAAAGCTTAAATGGCCATCAGTAGATAACTAGGTAAAAAAGCTGTGGTACATATATACAATGGAATACTAAACAGCTGTAAGAAAGAAATCTCTCTTATCCTTTGAGAAAATATGGAGGGACCTGGAGAATATTATGCTAAGTGAAATAAGCCAATCAGAGAAAGAAAAATACTACATGATCTCACTTATTTGTGGAATATAATGAACAAAATAAGCTGATGAACAAAATAGACCCAGAGACATAGAAGTAGGGCACAGACTGACAAACTTCAGAACAGGGGGATGGGAGAGGGAAGGGAAGAGATAAACCAAAGAACTTATATGCATGTATGCATAACCAATGAACATAGACAAGAATGCTGGGAAGTGGAATTGGGAGGAGATTGTCAATGGGGGGAAAAGAAAAAACATCTGCAACAAAAATAAATTAATTTTAAAAATGTGCTATCTTAACCATTTTTAAGCTTACAGTTCAGTGGTATTAAGTGGTTCACATTGTTGTGCAACCACCAGAACTTTTTTCATCTTCCCAAACTAAAATCTGTCCCCATTAAAAACTAACTCCTATTCCTATGAATTGACTATTCTAGGTACCTTATAAAAGTGGAATCCTACAATATTTGTCCACTAGTGTCTGACATTTCACTTAGTACAATGTGTTCTTTTGTTTTTAATTCTCTAACACTGCATTTTTATTTTCTGGTACAAAATTATTGGGCCACACAGATTGTTCCTTCAAGGCTATGTTAGCTAGAAGAGCTGAGAGAAGAGCTGAGAGCAAAGACTCGGGGTCTGATGCCACCCTGACCAACTACTCTTGATCTTATCCCTGTTCCCTCTTTTCCCACCTCCTTCTGCTCCTCCAATAGCTACACATTCCCATCTCAGGACCTTTGCATTTGCTATTCCCTCTACTTGAATGCCCCCCTAACAGATATCCATGTGGCTTATACCCTCTATGAACACAAATCTAAAAAGAAAAAAAAGGAATTCCCCTGGTATAAAAAAGGAAAGAGACTTCCCCTTTCCCAGACCATTTCCTTTGGCAAACTTGTAAACCTTTTCTCTATTTTTTTTTAAGATGTATACAAATCCTTTTGAATGCTAAATATGCCTCTTGCCAGCTTTACAACCCAAGAATGTTTCTCTTCAGGAGCTCAGAGCCATCCATGAGGAAGCACCTCTACCTCTGTGTCCTGGGAGTTTAACTAAGGCACCTAGCTCCAAGATGTAACGACATTCTTATCATAAAGATATAAAATGTTTTATCTTTCCTTTGGATAAAGACAATTAGCTAACATAGCCTTGGCTGGGTAACTCAGTTGGTATCATCCCAATATGCCAAGGTTGTGGGTTCAACGCCTGGTCAGGGCACAAACAAGAATCAACCAATGAATACCATAGCATTGTGACCTTATACATGGATTTTGGGATGATGGACATGGAGGATGTGATGATTAGGAAGATAAAGGTGAGCCAGCACCCACTGACCTGCTATTTGGACCACAAACTCTTTCTTTTGGAACAGAAGGGGGTTCTGGATGGAGCAGGACACGTTGCTGTGGGCCCCTCCTTGGACGACCACAGATGTTTCCAGACTGAACAGGCCCTGGGCATCCTGGATGATGGCTTCAAACTCTGGAGGCAGGCATCGTCCCCGATGGTCTCTCCACTGAGCCTGGGGCTTGGGGTACCAGCCACTGGAGATGCACCTGAGCTGAATGCCCCCTTTTTTGAAGCCTTCAAGGGAGATGTGAGGGTCTGACCCCATTGCTAGGAGAGGCAGGAGGAGTGGGAAAAAATTAGGTTCCTTCTCAGAAGTTGTGGGTGAAGCTTATCATTTGCAGTCACCATAAGGCATCACTACCTGTAAATGCTCTTCACACAATTCTGGGCTCATAAGCCTCCCCCTATGGATTGTAAATGACAGTCTGAATCAGTGGTGGCATGTAGGCAGAGTACTACCCCTGAAGAACATTTGGAAATATGGAGGGGGGCCATTTTACTCAAAAGGGCTGCTGACATTTAGTCATATTATGCAAGGGACAGTCCCTGAGAATGAAAAATAATTCCTTCCCAAATTTCAACAGATTGTCTTCTCTCTCTCCTGAATCCCACCAGAGATCAAGTACCTGTGATATATGTACTCTTTTATGGTCCTATCCTTTATGTTTTAAATATGCAAAACATTAATATGGTTTAAATGCCAATACTTATAGAAAATGTATGTCAGGAAAGCCCCAGACCTTTCTCCATCCTTTTTGTCCTATTGAACTCTCTCCCCTAGGTAATTAATTTCATTAGTTTCTAGTTTATTCTCCCTGTGTTTCTTTTGTGCAGTGTTTCTTCTTTCTTACACAAAAGTTTACATATTATAGAATGTTTTAGGCATCTTGCTTTTATTTTGTCCTAACAACAACCTAGAAATCACTGCATACCAGTTCATAGAGCTACTCCTCATGTTTTTAGCTGTGTAGTATAGGATTACTTCATATGTGATGGGCTATGCTCAGCATTTATGCTTGCTCATTTAGGTTCTTTTCACTAATTTGCAATTGCAAATAATGCTACAAAGATTAAAATTATACATATGCCTTTTCATATTAGCTGTAGAAGGTGTATCTTCAGGCTAAACTCCTAGAGGTGAGATTGGGGTTCAAAAGGTAGGCACACAGATAATCCTGTTACTGCATTGCCAAATTTCCAGGCACTGGAGCTTTGTAACTTGGAACTTTGTCAACATGGTGCAAAGCAGAGGGCCTTCTTTCCCACAGCTCCAAGAGTGTGTGGTTGAGTTTTTAAAATTATGCCAGTCTCATGTCGGTGAGACTTTAATTTGCCTTTCTCTCATTATTAATGAAAGTGGCCATTTTCCCATATATTTAAGGGCTAGTTGTGTATCTTTTCTCATGAACAATTTTTGTTGTTGTTGTTCATTTTCTAATTTTTTAAAAAAATAGAGCCATTCATTCCCCTGTTCTTGGTGCTTCCTTATCTACTTTTCAGCAAGCAGCTCTGTCCAAATGGACACTTTCCTACATATCCCCTGCTGGAGCCTTGATAGTTCACCCACCTGTTACCTCCAGCTCCCAGACAGCTTCCCCAGAGAAGTCCTTGGAGAGGAAGCGGCACCCATAACGTCCCTGGTCTGCGGGGACCACGCGATGGAGTTGCAGGATCACAGTGCCATTCGCGATCTCGTCCTTGATGAATTTGGTCCTGTTCTGGAACTGCGCCATCTGCCGCTCGTGGACCTCCTGCCGCTCCTGGTACAGGTACACCACGTCAGAGACCTGGCTCCGGAACCATCGAATCTCCATGTGCTCTGCGTCTTGGTATGGGAACAAGTGGCACAGGAACTCCACCTCTTCCCCGACGTTTGCCAGGATGGATTCCCCAGGGCCAATCACCTTGACCTCCTCTATGATGAGAAGCCAGAACAAAAACAGCTCTCCTCAAATGTGAGGTTTTATCAAGCCCCTTTGCAGCTCAGAAATCTACAGTAAACCATTCTAATGAGGAAGGTGAGACACTTTACAGGACAGCCTGTCAGGTTTCTTAAACAAGTAATTTTCATGAAAAAAGTGAATTGGAAATTTCTGCATAATGGGAATAGATGTTTTATTTTCTTTCTTTCTTTCTTCTTTTTTTGCTTTGTCTGATTTTCTATTTTTTATAATATACATGTATACAGCTTCTGTAACAACAAAGGGTATTAAAATAATCTATGAGCCTCCTTGTTTGTTTTTTATTTTTTATCTAAATGTCAAATTCTGCCTTGAAGACTTTTGGGGGTACAGTATTGATAGTGCATGACAAGGTGGGGTCTGTAAACCTCTCCCCTTATTCAGGGCTTTAGAGATAGAAACTGTGGAGATCAGGAGATTCTCAGTGTGTTGAGGGATCAGTTTTGGGCAAGGACTCCCCAACAGCTGAGGGCCTCTCTTCTTCTCACCCTCTTGCTGTAGCCAACTAATTTTCAGATCAGGAAATGAGCTTGACAAAGTGGTTATTGAGGGCAATGCCAGCCCAAGAATCAAAAGTGGAGGAGTAGGTGTCACTAATAAAATTGCAGAAGACAACCTGGTCCTCAGTATAGCCCTGGACTTCCTTGAGGTGGCCCTCTGATGCCTGCTTCACTACCTTCTTGATGTCCTTGTATTTGGCAGCTTTCTCCAGGCAGCAGGTCAGATCCACAACTGACACATAGTGGGTGGGGACATGAATGGGCCATGCCAGTGAGCTTCCCACTGAACTCAGAGATGACCTTGCCCACAGCCTTGGCAGTGCCAGTAGAAGTGGGGATGATGTTCTGGGCAGCAGTTTGGCCATCATGCCACACTCCCAAGAGGGGCCATCCATGGTCTTCTGGATTGTGGTCAGGAGTCCCTCCATGATGCCAAAGTTGATGACCTTGGCTGGGGGAGTGGTGTGGAGTTGTTGGTGGTACATGAGGCATTACTGACAATCTTGAGGGAGTTATACTTGTCATGGTTCACATCCATCACAAACATGAAGGCATCTGCAGAAGGGGCAGAGATGATGACCTTCTTGGCTCCACCCTTCAAATGAGCCTCAGCCTTCCTCAAGGTAGAGAAGACACCAGTGGACTCCACAACATATTCTGCACTAGCATCACCCCATTTGATGTTGGTGGGATCTTGCTCCTAGAAGATGGAGATTGACTTTCCATTGATGACAAGCTTCCTATTCTCAGCCTTGACTGTGACTTTGAACTTGCCATGATTAGAATCATACTGAAACATGTAGACCATGTAGTTGGGGTCAATGAAGGGGTCATTGATGGTGACAATATCTACTGTGCCAGAGTTAAAAGCAGCCCTGGTGACCAGGCGCCCAATCTGGCCAAATTTTTTCACTCTGACCTTCACCATCATGTCTCGGAGTTGCAGCTGGCACTGTGCAGGAAGACAAGGCTGTGTGATGAACAGGAGGAGCAAAGAGTTCTGCCTTGGAGATTTCTATTCACCAGGACCTTTCATTTGATCATTCTCTTTCATGGTGTCACCATCTGCTCCCTCTAGTTTCTGCAATTTCCATGAGTTGCTATTCTTGCTGCAGTCTTTTGTACAGACATTTCCTGCCACCCACCCTGCCTCATTCTTCTCTCTGCCTTCTGTGCACCTGCTTTCCTTCCTTTGAAGATAAACTAAAACCTAGGTTTATCTGAAGCTTAACTAAAACCTTACCCCCAAACTCTCCCTTCATAGATCCCTCCCACCTTTCATTTTGCTGGTGGAGCAAAATGGTGGTGTCTTATTTGTTAACTGCATTTGAGACTCCCTTGTTGTCACTGGGTGAAATCTCTACACCCTTCTAATTAGCTTCCTTCCCCAGCTTTTCTCCCCCACACCTGATATCTGGCCCTTTCTCTGGGTGCACCCTACCTTAGTTTACTCTCCATCTGCCATTTTTCTGGGTAATATGTATTCTACAAGGCTCTGCCCAAATAATTCCTCCTGTCTAGAGCTCTTTTTGATTTGGGGGGGGGGGCAAATGACTCTATTAGCTGGACTCCTAAATCTTTGGGTACATTTCTTTTGCACACTGATCACACACAGCTGGGCAGATAGATTTAAAAATATTTTCCAACTGGTTCAGCCCAAGCACAGACCAGTAAGAGTTTCTTGGCACTCTCTTGTTCCGCCCTCACCATGCTTGCAAGCTCTGCGGTCATGGGGAGTGTGTAGGAATATGCTGGGTGGCTGGAGAGATGGTGGAAGAGCTCTGTGGGGCTGGATGGAGCTTGGGGTCAGTGGCTCTTTAACCAATGGGGTAGAAGTCTACTTAAATACTAGCACCTCACATGGCTACAAAATCTCAGCCTTGGGAGTACCTAAGGAGTAGGCAGAAGTTGATATGCTCACTTCCTGGCTGGCTGGGCGGCAGATCAAGTACCCTACCTGAGTTTGACTCCCCAGGCTGGAAGAAGAGGAGAAAGTGGATGAGGAAGAAGAGACTGCTGGGCTGAGATACTCGCTGAAAGTCCATGGAGAATGGGAAATCTACAATCTCCTCAGCAGTGGGGCCACCTGCAGGGGGACAAAGAAATGCTGGGGTGACACAGGAGAGATGGAAACCAGCCCATCAGGCCAGAGTTCTATCAGTGCCTCAATTATCTTTTATCTCATTCTTTTTTTTTTTTTTTTTTTAATCCTCATCCGAGGACATTTTTCCATTTTTTTGCACAGACAGAGTGGGAGGGAGAGAGAGGAAGAGAGAGAGAGAGAGAGAGAAACATCGACGTGAAGGGACACATCGAGTGGCTGCCACCCGCAACGACCAACCAGGGCCGGGGACAAACTGCAGCCGAGGTACGCGCCCTTAGCGGGAACCGAACCTGGGTCTCTCAGGACCGCAGGTCGACGCTCTAACCGCTGAGCCAAACTGGTCAGGGCTCTTTTATCTCATTCTTAACAATGCCAGTGCCTGGCTTCTTTTAAACAATAGCCAGATGTGAGAGCTGCTTCTAATTTTACCAGGCAGCACTGCTAATGGCATCACTGGCCTTGCTCAGACTCACAAAGTCGCATGGGGTCAGGGCCAAAGAGTTCCAGAGGAAGCAGCTTCTGAGGTTCACATTGTTTTAGAGCCAGAAATAGAGACACACAATGTACTGGAGCTCAGCTAGGATATACTGACTTTCCACAAAGGAAAGTCTATAAAAACTCTCACATGTATTTTCACTCTCCCTGAACAACCTTGTTACCAGCCTAGAACATCCAGTCCCACAAAACAAATGAACAAACACAGAGTTCTAATCTTTCAGAAATGACATATATGCCTGGCGCCTGCTAGCCAACTTCAAAACACATCTGGGATACCTCCCTCCAGTCCTAGAATCTCAGATGTAGCTTCCAGAAGGTTAGCTGGTGACTGTCCCTGAGTCTATAGTATCTTTGAAGCCACAGTGATGATGTGATTCCATTTAGCTATTCTCCCATCTTTAGTCCTGGAAACCCAGCCCCAATACAGGCAAGGGCTTTCCATCTTACTCCTGACACCCCCTTGGGACTTGAGAAATGTCTCGCAGTCTTATAACCAGTGAGTGTGGGCCGCCGATGCATCTTGGGAGATATACGACCCTCTTCACATTTGTCTTCTGCTTAGTTGTAGAACTTTAGACAGATTCTGTAACTAGCAGAACCTCAATTTCTTTGCTTGAGCAATGGAAGAAACCAATGCCAACTCAGAGAGACATTAAGCCTCTTATGGATTGGCTGGGTGCTTTAACTAAAACTCAGTACCTCCTCCCTCTGTATCCACCATCCAAACAACCACTCTCCACTATCTATCTACTTCCAGAACCTGCATTCCTCTCCTTTCACTCCATCATAGCACTCCAAGGGGAGGGTGAACCCCGTGAAGTTTCTACTCTCATCATCCTCAGCCTCCCTTCTCCCTCCTTCTGCCACCTTCCAGTATTTGGTTTTCCTTTTCACACAGACCTGTGAAATGGCACATGCTCCTGGAGTCCTGTGGCTGCAGAGCCACAACTGCTCTGTCCATTGGCAGGGTTTAGATAAAGGACTTGAAAAGTTCTAGGTCATTCAGCAGAAGAGGGGCCAGAGGAGGTGTGTGAGTGACTTAATGGGAGAGGGTAGACTCCCCAGGTGATCCCTGAGCTGAAAGGACCTAGGTTGATAAAAACACAGTGTGGGTGGGAGGTGATAGCCTGTGAGGCAAGTGGACCCTGCCCTCCTAGAGCTCACATGCAGATGAGAAGGTAGAAGGGGAGGCAAGTTAGACTGGCTTGACTTATGCTTCAGTAGGGGCCTCTGGGAGGGAGGAAGTCAGAGTCCCTTCTGAAGGGGTCCTGGCTGTTTTAGTAGCCAGCAGCTATTGGAATGACTATTCACACAATAACCAGCAGAACAGAGGCCTTGGGCCAGGGTCTAGGCTCTGGCCAGACAGTCCAGCCTCTCACCCTTTTGGCTGATGTCAGGAACATGTAGGTGTCTGGCCTGGAAACCAGCAGTGAAGAATCCCAGAATAGGGAGTGTGTTTTCTCTCCCTCTGCCTGTTCCCTTCTCTTCTCTTTTGGGCCTCAGTCTTTTCTTCTAGACTCTTACATAGAGCCTCAGGAGAGCAAAAGCATGAGGGCCAATCAGCACCAGCCAATGTCTTTGAAACAAGAGGGGCCCAGGACATCTTACAGATCCATTTGGATTGGCCAGGTTCTGAAAATTAGTCAAGTTCTGTGTTAGTTGTTAACTTGAGTCCACCCCATGGCAGCCATGGCTCATTAGGCCCACAGCTGGGAGAGGATGTGCCTCATTGGAGGAGCACATGCCCTGATATTCCTGGGCAGGGGAGGCTGCAACCTCCAGATGTTTGGGCAGTCAGTGTGTCCCAGACCCTGAAATTACTGCAAGACTGCAGTTGTCTGTTTTGATTCACCCATATGATTTCTGTCATTGAGGCTATAGGAGGAGAGGGTCACACACACACACACACACACACACACACACACACACACACAGTAATAAAAAATTAGCACAGATTGAGAGCTTAGTATCTACCAATCAGTTATCTATATCAAAGTATTAAGATTATTATAGCCACAGACAAGAAAACTGAGGCACAAAGAGGCTAGGTGATCAGCCTGTACACAGCTAGGTGGTGGTGGAGTGGGGGTTCACTCCAAGCTTTGCACTCCTCTGAATATAAATTTTTCATCAGCTGTGCCATGTGTCAGGACTGGGTATACCCTTAGTCTCCTGTCCCCAGACCATCATGTTCCCTGCTAGGGACCACCTGACCATAGCACTTGCCCTGACAGCATCTCTTGTGCACTGAAGAAGAGGCTTGAATCCTCAGGTGTCAGCCCCAAGACCAATGGATCAACCAACAAACCAACAAATGAATAAAAAAAATCTAAAACCCCACTCAAAGCTGGAGTCTTCCTTAGAGCCTATGAGCAGCATCTTCTCAAACAGAAGGCACATGCCCTGTGGCCTTGTTGCTCCCAGCACACAGAGACATGCCTTGAAAGCCTTTAATCTTAGGGAGACATCTGGCAGTTTCCTGAAGGGACTTCAGGGGGGCTGAATGCCCTATGGTAACCACCAAAGTCACCCTTTCCCCACCTGCTAACTGAAGCTCATCCATTCTGACCTCTGTGGTATAAAGGGTTTGTTCCTCCCTGGAAACACAAGTACCCTGTAAGGGGAACACTTTCCCATCTCAGCTATTTACATCACAGTGTAAATGAATTTCTTCTGGTTCCAGTGAGGAGGTTTTGCTAGGGGAAAGGTGAGTATCTGGATGCATTGAATATTTGGAGAAGATGGAGGAGCCAGTGAGGAGGAGGATGGACAGAAAGGGGGGTCTCAGGCAGGAGCTAAGTTTTACTGGTGGGTACATTCTCCCTATTCTTCAGGGAGCCTCTGGAATGTTTCCTCCTGAAGACACAGGGAGGAATAAGGCTTGTACACAACTGGTGCTAAAGAAATGCCACACCCTACACCCAAGGGAAGCCCATTTTTCTCCTCATTTCTTTCCTTCTCATTTTCTTCGCAGCCCCACTCTAACCCCATTCCAGTTTCCTCCTCCTGCATCTCTAGTTGCTAAGGAACACCTGATGATCTCATGATTGCCAGTCTCTCAGCTCTTGTGTATCTCTTTAAGGGTTATTCTTTGCTTTTGTTACTTTCAAGAGCCTGGGCTATGTAGCAGCAGTGTGCTTTGCCCTTCTCCCATTCCCAGTGTCCTAAGCTGTAAGCCCCAGGAGTAGGGTTTTGTCACTCTTGCACCTTGGCCCTCCACAAGCTGTCAATCAGATCTATGCTCACTAGCTTGCTTTGGTTTGATTTCAGTAGGCCCCAAGAGTTTCTACCCCAAGTCTCCAAAGGAGATAAACCTCCCCAAAAAGCAACACTCAGTGAGGCTGGAGGAAAAATGAGACAGGTCAGATTCTTGCCTCCACAGGTAACTGCCTGACAGGGCATCTCTCCATGGCCACCCTCCAAACACCCCACCCTGCAGCCAGGCTCCACTGGTAAGATGGAGCCAACTCATCTAGGCTCTTTCCAAAAGCCATCATTATCTGATTCTCATTTCTGAAAGGTGGAGGATTAGACAGGCATTGAGAATGAGCCATGTACCTGGCAGGTTCCAGCAAAGGGTCCGAAATGGCAGAAGAGTCCTGTCAATCCCAACTCTGGTGCAAAGGAGATGTTTGTTGTAAAGAGTCTTGGTCCCAGTTGAGGAAGCCAGTTCATGTGTGACAGAATTACCCAACGACCTTCCACCTTAAGACACATGCTGTTTTCTCTGCCCTTTGCTATGAAAAAACAAGAAAGATACACAAAAGGAGGAAGTCCCTGTCACATCCTGTCTCTGAGGCAAATCATGAATTGAATTTCCACAGAAAATGTCTCTCCATTTAAAAATAGGGGAAAGGTATCTGGGAGTTTTGTAGAGACTGCAAACTGCTGATGCTCAGAGAAGCAGGGTTGGGGGCGTGCTCAGCCGGCTGACTGAGATTTGGGGCTCCAGGGAGGCAGGTTGGCCATTTCTAGTTAGCCCCTCACTCCTCAGCATCACAGAAAAACATGCAGAATGGACTGAAATATCAGTAACTGAGGGTTAGGAAGGATCTGGTACCCAACTCTTAATCAACTCTACCGTTTTCTGTAGGGCTACGGCATTAGATAGACTGGGGTCATTGCCATAAGTAAAACTGTAAAATCTGGTCATATACAACTTGGAAATAAAGTGGTACATAAATTTGGAATTTTGATAATGCAGTAGAGCTCAAAAAAGAAGTAGCCATTACCCTACTCCACCCTTTTGTGCCATAAGCTACTGTACAACTTTGGTATTCGTGAGACACAAGCACAGTGTAGCAAGGTTTCAGCCACCTGGCTGCAACCCATACTGACATTCTTCCTAGGTCAGAGCACTGGCAAATGACAGTCTAGCACCTGTAGGATACACAGCCCCAGGGACTCCTAGAAATGCCTGCTGTTTTGGGGAGGACTTATGCAGATGCAAGGCTCTGGGTAAACAGGTGAAGTAGGTAACCCTTTATGTCCAAGCAGCTGGTGTATGCATCCTGGGTTTATGCATGCATAAAGATGTGCTAGAACAGCACAAGGGGCTGAGTGGTAAGCTCAAGTGGTGGATGCAGGTCCCTGGAGCTGGAAGACACAGAAGGGTTGAGGAACAGATTAAATTTTAAATGGACAGTAACCAAAGAGCGGGATTAGGGAAGTGATAAAGGCACAAAGAGGGAGATGGCAATTTTGAGTGGAGGGAGAGGGTTAGCCATATGTGTGGTAGAAAAAGGTTATGGGCCTGTTGGGAGAGTTTATGAAAATGGCCTGTGGAAGGGAAGGCTGGACAAGAATAGATGAGACCAAATGTCCAAGGTCTTTTCATGCCACACAGGGAGAAGAATGTTGTTCTATGAGCAACCAAGAGCCCTTTGAACATTTGAAGAACCTGAAGTAATTCAGGCTGGAGAAGAAAAATGGCAGCTGTATGGAGGAGCTATTTGGAAATGTTAATCCAGGCTTTTCATTGCCCTTCTCCTGGGGTCTTCCATGATACCTGGAGACAGGTGAGACTACCATAGTAAGAATGCAAAGGTAGCAGGCAGAGTCCACTTCTGTGGTCCCAGACACGGTCCTGCTAAGATGTGGGAGAGACTCCACCTGCCAGCACCTGCATGTCAGGGCACCTCCATTCTAAGGCCTCAGGAAATGCATAAAGTCATGTAGCCAAAAATAATGAAGGCAAAAAGAACAATGGTTAAACTACCAGAGAGCTCTAAGGGAAGGGAAGAACCCTCACCTGCCCTTGGAGAGTAGAGAACCAACCCCATTACAGCTTCTTCAATGGGTCATTTAGGCAGATTCTTTTTAAAAAAATTTTTTCTTTATTAGTTTTAGAGAGAGAGAAAGGAAGAGGGAGAGAGAGATAGAAACATTCATAACAGAGAACATTGACTGGCCACCTCCTGCATGCCCCCCACTGGGGATTTGGCCCACAACCTGGGCATGTGCCCTGACCCGGAATCGAACCAGCGACCTCCTAGTGCATGGGTCAGTGCTCAACAACTGAGCCACACCAGCAGACTAAGCAGATTCTTTTTGGTGTCCATCAGCCCTCATAATGAGGTCATTTGAGGGAATTCAACAGTAGTACAAAGGCCATCTCACACACAATATGGGGCACTAGAGGAGATGGAATAAAAGTCATGCTAAACACACATGTAGATGACCTAATCCTTCTCTTTCTTTCTTTCTTTCTTTCTTTCTTTCTTTCTTTCTTTCTTTCTTTCTTTCTTTCTTTTCTCTCTCTCTCTCTCTTTATTTCTTTATTATTTTTTATCCTCACCTGAGGAAATGCTTATGCTTATTGATTTTTTAGAGAAAGGGAAGAGAGAGAGGGAGAGAGGCATCAATGTGAGAGAACATTGATTGGTTGCCTTTTATATGCACCCGCCAGGCCTTGGAGAATAGAGAACCAACCCCATTACAGTAACCAAAGAGCGGGATTAGGGAAGTGATAAAGGTATGTATCCTAACCTGTAATTGAACCCATGTCCTTCCAGTGTATGGGATGATGCTCCAACCAACTGAGCCACACTGGCCATAGTTTAATCCTTCTCTCCTCCCAAGGAAAGTTGGCAAAAGAAATGGGCAGTTAGAGCAGCTTAAGATAAACTTGTGGGCACAGAGATGAGCATGGAAGAGTGGAGAGTTACTTCAATTCTTTTATTTTTTTTAAAATTAATTTATTTTTCTTACAGAAGTTTCTCCTTTTTCCCCCAATTGACACCTTCCTCCTTATCCACCAGATAAGCCCGTCCCCGGCTTTGTTGTCCATGTCCATCAGTTATGCATACATGCATGTAAGTTTTGTGTTTATCTCTTCCCTCCCCCCAACACCCCCTCTTCTCAGGGTTGTCAGTCTGTACCCTACTTCCACATGTCTGGGTCTACCCTATTCCTCAAACTGTTATGTCCATTATGATATTTGTATTTCTCTGCTTGGCTTGTTTTGCTTAGGATAATACTTTTCAGGTCCCTCCATGTCGTCTTAAATGATAAGAGATCTTTCTTTCTTTCTTTCTTTCTTTCTTTCTTTAATCCTCAACCGAGGACATTTTTCCATTTTTTTGTTCAGATAGAGCAGGAGGGAGAGAGAGGAAGAGAGAGAGAGAAACATCGATGTGAAGGGACACATCGAGTGGCTGCCACCCGCACGACCAACCAGGGCCGGGACAAACTGCAACCGAGGTACGTGCCCTTAGCGGGAACCGAACCCGGGTCTCTCTGTACCGCAGGCCGACGCTCCAACTGCTGAGCCAAACTTTCCAGGGCGAGATCTTTCTTTCTTACAGCTGCATAGTACTCCATTGTGTATATGTACCACCACTTTTTTATCCATTTGTCTACAGATGGGCATTTGGGCTATTTCCAGATCTTAGCTATTGTAAATAGTGCTATTACAAACATGGGGATACATATATTCTTTCTGATTGGTGTTTCAGGTTTCTTAGGATATATTCCTAGAAGTGGGATCACTGGGTCAAATGGAAATTCAATTTTTAATTTTTTGAGGTAACACCATAGTGTTTTCCATAATGGCTGCACCAGTCTGCATTCCCACCAGCAGTGTACTAGAGTCCCCTTTTCTCCACATCCTCACCAGCACTTGTTGTTTGATAATTTGTTGATGGCGGCCATTCTGACAGGTGTGAGGTGATACCTCATTGTTGTGTTAATTTGCATCTCTCTGATGATTAGTAATGTTGAGCATTTCTTTATATGTCTCTTGGCCATTTGTATGTCCTTTTTAAACAGGTGTCTATTTAGCTCCTCTGCCCATTTTTTCATTGGGTTCTTTGTCTTCCTTTTGTTGAGTTGTATGAGCACCTATATATTTTGAAAAGTAACCCCTTATCTGATGTGTCATTGGCAATTATGCTCTCCCATACAGTGGGTTCTCTTTCCATTTTGATGCTTATTTCTTTTGCTGTGCAAAAGAAACAAGAAATCGATGTAGTCCCATGTGTTCATTTTTTTCCTTTGTTTCTGTTGTCTGAGGTGATGTATCAGTGAAAATTCTGCTGCTTATGATGTTCAAAATTTTGTTGCCTACATTTTTTTTCTCTAAGATTTTTATGTATTCATGGGTCACATTTAAGTCTTTTATCTATTTAGAGTTTATTCTTGTGTATGGTGTAAGTTGGTGGTATAGCTTCATTTTTTTTTGCATGTCGCAGTCCAATTTTCCCAACACCATTTATTAAAGAGGCTGTCTTTATTCCACTGTATGCTCCTGCCACCTTTGTCAAATATTAATTGAGCATAATGTCTTGGGTCCACTTCTGGGTTCTTTGCCTGTTCTTGTGCAAGTACCAAGTTGTTTTGATTACAGTAACTTTGAAGTAGAACCTGATATTTGGTATTGTAATCTCACCTACTTTGTCCTTCTTTTTCAAGATTACTGTGGCTATTCGAGGTCTTTTTTGGTCTCATATAAACTTTTGAAGTATTTGTTCTAGTTCTGTGAAATATGTCATTGGTATTTTGATGGGGATTGAATTGAATCTATATATTGCTTTGAGTAATATGGACATTTTAATGATATTAATTCTTCCAGTCCATGAACTTATTGATTCTTATTGAATGCCATTGATTTCTTGTTAAAATTTTGTATCCTGCTACTTTGCCAAATTCATTTATGAAGTCTAGTAGATTTTTGATGGAGTCTGTAGTGTTTTCTATGTACAATATCATGTCATCTTCAAATAGAGACAGTATCACTTCCTCCTTCCCAATTTGGATACCTTTTATTTTTTCTTCATGTTTGATTGCTGTGGCTAAGACTTCCAGTACTATGTTAAATAAGAGTGGCAAAAGTGGGCATCCTTGTCTTGTTCCTGTTCTTAAGGGAAATGCTTTTAGTTTCTGCCCATTGAGTATGATGTTGGCTGTAGGTCTTTCATATATGGCCTTTATTATGTTGAGATATAATCCCTTTATTCCCACATTGCTGAGCATTTTTATCAGAAATGGGTGCTGGATTTTGTCAAATGTTTTTGCAGCATCTATTGATATGATCATGTGGTTTTTATCTTTCAGTTTGTTTATGTGGTGAATCACATTTATTGATTTGCAAATATTATACCATCCTTGCATCCCTGGGATGAATCCCACTTGGTCATGGTGAATAATTTTTTTGATTATTTGCTGTATCCAATTTGTTAGTATTTTGTCATCT